GATTATTTTAAATCTGAACTTGAACAATTTTCAAGTGAGTTAAAGAAGAATTAATGCAAGATTAGATCTAACCGTAAATAAGTGTGGTCATGTAGGTTAGTTTCAGAATTAAAGTTTTAGGACCAATATCCAAAAAAATTAATTTTTTTAAATGCATCAGTTTGATATGGGTGTGCACTCTTGAAATTGTTTAAAAAGGGATTAATTTTGAAATATACAAAACTAATTTTGGGACAACTTGACCTTAAATAAAAATAAATAAATTTAACATTTTAATTCTAGTTCTTAGGGTATGTAGAGTTCGAATCTTTCCCCAAGTTTTGCAATATATATTCAAGTCAAACATCTGTTAACTTGTGCAAAAATAGGTTATGTGGGTTCAATACAAGATTTGCATCCAACTTAAAATTAATTGATATACTTCTTTGTTATATAGTTGATATAGGATTTTTTTACTCAACACGCCCCCTCACGTGCAGAGGTAGTATCTACTTTGGGTCTTGTCAGGTGGGATAACAATGGACTTCTTGGGATGAAGTCTGGGTCTTGATACCATGCAAAGATTGAGCATGTAGACTCAATAAAATCAATTGATAATTGGTGGAGTAACATTCCTTATATTTAAAGTACATACTTCTTTGTTACATACTCAATATGAGATTTTCCCACTCAACAACTTGAACTTCATCATATATGAATTGAAATAGTTTAATCATCTCCAAAAACAAATTGAAAAAAAAAATGTTTAGGAAGGCCTTCAAGCCCACTAGTCAAATATTTAAATGTAAAAGGCTTCCTCACCCATTGACGAGGATTTGAAACTATGTAACTCCCCTCTCCACCCTCTTCCCTCACAAATTGAACCACATAACTTGTCCTATCAAAAAAAATCAAATTGAAAATTTAACAGAGCAGAGACCATGATTAATTAAGCTGAGGAACTAAAGCAGACATTTTCCTCAAACTTTAGTACTAAAACTTCACCCCTTTTTTTAAGGAAATGAAAATATGAGGATAGAATGACTACCAAAAAAAAAGAAAAAAAGAAAAGAAAAAAAAGATCTGAAGGTCTTGTTTGGTTAGTGTGGTAGTAGCTATTTTTTGGTTAAATTATAAAAATAAAATAAATTTGAGTTAGTTCTTTAGAAAGTTAGGAATAGGTAGAATTTCATAATTTTTTTACTAAACTAAGGAATTTTCTAGTAAACTAAGTATTACTTGTTTCTTAACTATTGTAAAAGGAAAATTAAATATTAAGATTTGGTTATTTCTAACTTTCTATAAAAGTTTTATAATTTTAACTTATTCTTATAGAATGATAAAGGAATAACCACTAATACAAACCAAACAAACTCAAAAGGTTTCACTAATTTTTGGTGGGGGCAGGGGCCGAGTCGGGGGTGCGAAGAGGAGCCCTCACCCTTTGGACTTCTAAACAAAGTTAAAGAGGTCCTACATTTCTGGAAAAGATCAATTAAACCCTTTTTGAAAAATTAAATAGCACTAAACTTTTATGAATTTCACTTACCTTTGTTTTAATGGTGCGCACATTTTAAGGATGTAATTGTTGCATTTTTTTACATTAATTAATATTGAAAAATATATAAACTGGTATTAATTTCACCACCAATGTTGTGAGTATCATTTTAATTTGGCAATTGATTAAATAAAATTCAACTAGGACACTAATTGTTACATCCTTTAATTCAATACGTTGAACAACACACTCATTAAAAAATCATTATTTTCTAACATAACATTAAAGGTAGACAAACTTAAAAATGTAACTATACATATAAGATATAGAAATTGATTGAATCAATTATACTTATATTATATTTTGATAGTTGAATTGGATAACTGTTGGAAATTGTTTTGAACTAGAGACTATACTAATTATTTTTCCACTAATTAAAGTAAAAAAAGTGCAATGGAACACAGATTAGAAAAACCTAACTTTTATTTTCTATAAATCCTATAATTATTTTCAATAATTAAATTTTAATATAGAAAAGTGCTTTTTTAGGTTGAGCTGCAAGAAAATGTACATGAATACATATGAAATTATATAAAAACCCTCTTGTGTATTGATTTATTAAAGGTATTTAAGTCTTTTCATAGGTGTTTCTACATTCTTTTTTCTATAGATCGATTTAAAAATTAACATGCTCATTTTAACAAAGAAAATTATTTGGGCACTCTCGGATTTGATAAACAAGTTGATACCCACTCAATTCAACCATTAAAATATAATATAAATGCAACTAATTCCTTCATGCAGTATACATGGCTGTATTTTTAAGTTTTATTATCTTTAATTTTAGATAAAAAAATAATAACTTTTGAATATATTGTTAATTATGTTGAATCAAAAGGTATATATATCAATGTCCTCTTAATAAATATATGCTTCCAATATGGTGAATTAACGACAATTGAAAAAAAGAAAAGAAAAGAAAAGAAAAGAATTAACGATAAATTCTATTGGGTAGGAGGTCATCTGCTACTCAAAAGGGTTCACAAGGATAAACAAATTTATTTGACACGTTTTCTCATTGTAATACTAGTTACTAAAAAAATATTTGTGCCTAACTGTATGCTAAAGTTGACTAGGTGTTGGTATGTCAATTTCATAAAGGACAATGCTACGTTTACCCTCCTTTATCACACACTCCGTTACACCCACTTAGTCTCCGTTATTTTCCCGTCAAATCTCAAACGCCCCCAGCCCAACTCTTTCTTTCTCTCTTTCTTTTCCTATCTCTGTAGTTCCAGTTGATTCTCAAACATCTCCGATCATTCCCTTGTTTTCTCAAATGGTCCATAGTTGCCACGATGCTTTTCCATTTCTTGTGGGTAGTTGGACAGTAGAACATCTAAGGAAGAACACTGGAGAGAGAAGCATCAAACCCTAAAGCAAATCTAGCGGAAGCATCAAACCCAGAAGCAGATTTGGAGGAAGCAGGGGAAACGGCGCTGCAGGGCGGTGGTGGTGAAAGTAGATCTGTTGGAGGCGGGTTCGAAGGAATCGAGGTTGTTAAGAGGAAGATGAGGCTACAAATAATTAGGATGAGGATGGAGGTGAGGAGGAAGATGGATCTGGTGAGGACGCTGAACAATAAGGAGATAGGAAATGAGAGAGAAAGAGAGAAAGAAAGGGCTAGGCTGGGTGCTTAACGGAAAGTAATTGCTGGGTTGCTGTTGGGTCAATCGAAGGAACCCAACTCGAAGCATGTTCTCAATCACTTCTTTTCTCCCATAATATGCAATTCCCAGTATGCAATCGAGGTTGCAACTTGAATCGAAATGTTTTATGAGCGCAAGAGGTTGATGATTCTCGTGATTTCTTTGTATGTTTCTAGTTCATCAACTAAAGGGATTTGATGGTTTTGATCAACAAGGAGGATGGTGAACAATAAGAAGGAGAAAGGAAAGGAAAGAGAAAGAAAGGGTTGGGCTACGTGCTTAATAGAAACTAACGGAGTTTGAGAGAGTAAGTGAGTGTAATGGAGTGTGTGATAAAGGAGGGTAAACGTAGCATTATCCTTTCATAAAATATTGCTACTTTATTATTTTTTTTTTTGGAACATATTGGTAATATATAATTTGTAAAAATAATTTTTTTTGAAATTAAAATTTAAATACAAACAAGAGCATAAATTTGAGCTAATTTTCTTATATTTAAGGCACATAATTTCAATCTTCATACATCTGAGTATTAATCTTATTAAGTCATGAAATTCTTCTTTAGTAAACACAATTCCAAATAACATTAACCAAACAAAGACACAAAACCTCTTTATCAACTATAGTTTTTATTAATCAAATAAATTTCTAAAATAAATGACAAAAATTAATAAGTAAAATCCTAACGCAATTCTAAAACTTAAAGGGAGAAGATCTTTAAGTTTGAGTTTAATTAAGAGTTTTGATTCCTAATTAAGAGTTTCGATTTTTTTTTTTTTTTGGTAAAATTCAATTTTTAATTTGTTAGATATGAAAGAATTATTTAGATTATAAATATTCTCATTGGTTTGGTTATTATGACATTATTTTAATATAATTGCTTATTATATCCTTACATTATACTTAATTTTTCTTAAAACTCTATATGTATATTTTTTGTTTCTTAATAAATTAAATGATATAATGATTAATTAAGATAAAAGATTATGATGTTCATAATTAAAGATGTGACAATAACATCACTTTTTTCTCATCTTTTACAAAACATTTAATTCGATCTTAATGTAGCTAGTGGTTATAATAAAAATATTATAAATTGTTTTAGTTTTGAATTGTTAAGTATAAAAAGTTATCAGGATTGTAAAAGTTAGATGGAAATAACTTTAAGTTTCCGCATGTTAAATATAACTTTTAAAAACCTTAAGGAGCAAAACAAATAGTATTTGCATCAAATTTAAAAATTTTCAAAAGTTGAGGGGGACACGACCTCGTCCCATCCCCTCTGCCCCCGCATATAATATACCATCCCACATGCCTCCTCACTTCCCCTACTCCATCTCGAAAGTAGAGCGTAATGGAGCGGTTCGTCCTCTTCGTTGGAGCACTGACTTCCGTTTTAGCTTCCATTGAAGGATCAACCGCGCTAAATCGGAGCAGCTTTCCTGATGGTTTTATCTTCGGAGCTGCATCAAGCGCTTACCAGGTAGGCCATGTAATAGAACTATGGTTTTATTTTACTGCATTGGATTTGACTCTTGGCTATAATATATCAGATGAACCAAGTTACTCACATGAGATAATCAAACTTTGGGTTGCATTTGCATTCCTGTTTAATAATTAACCTTTATAAACAGTATGAAGGGGCAACAAATGTAGATGGGAGGAAGCCAAGCATATGGGATACTTTTGTGAAGGAATATCCAGGTATCTCAATACATCTAAATGTTTCATTCGGTATGTTTGCATTTGGGATGAAGATATCAATGAGTCCTTTCAGTAAGTTTCAGTTCTCAATTCATGTGTGATTCGTGTTCCATATCATTTAAGTAAACTACAAAGTAAACTAGATGTATATAAAAGTAAGTTTTCTTAACATATTTCTTGACGAAAATTTTCCTAAATACCTAAATAATTAACTTTAAAATAAAGAACATTTTTTTGGGTAAAAAATTTATCATACCACTTGGTTACCTTCCCAAACACGCCTTTGGGATTATTTTAGTCATATATATTGGGATTATGGAATGGTATCATCAACCTGGACCATAACATAAATTATCATATGAGGGTTCATGACTGTAGGGGTCAGCCTCACATTTCATGGCCTATATATTGCAATTTGACTGGAAAACACAAAAGGTATCCTTGGTTGGAGGTGAGGGGAGGGAGGGATTTTTTAACTAATTATATTACAATATCATCTAATGTTATATTTTAATTGATATGGAAAAAAATATCATGCATCCTCCAAATGAAACAAACTCCTTATTGGTTTTTTCTTTTTGGCTAGTACAATGGGAGATAATTCTTTTCCACTTCATTACCATACAATATGATTTGAACTAAGAACATGTTACTTCACTAGAAGGAGAATTATTACTAAATTATTTAGATTATTGACAAATATATTCTTAAAATATATTTGGCTTGAGGAAAATAAAAGAGAAAGGGGGAGGGAGCTCCCCTCTTTTTCTTTCTTTTAAACATATGTTAAAATAAAGGACCATGATTGGCATACATTCATCCATACCACACTCCCGTTATACACTCTTTTTTCCGGATAAGAATGGAGGTGAAGAGGAAGATGGATTTGGTGAGGATGGAAAGGGTTAGGTGAGTTGGAAGATGATTGACAAGGTGGAAACAGAGTTAAGTGTAATGAACAGCAAAATAACGAAAATTGAAAGGTGTAACAGAGTGTGTAGATAATGAGTGTGCATGCATCATTATCCTAAAATAAATGAAAGAACTGAAAGCAAAAAATAAAATAAGGATTCTTCTTCCCTCTTCTTCCATTCATCTCTTTTATGTAACTAAAAAAAGAAAGGAAAATGATTGGTCTCCCTCCCCTCTCATCTATTTTCTTCAGAAAACTTGACACACCCTATCTTCCTAACCTCTATAGTTAAATCTCTCTATTAATTTTTAAGTTGGTTTTATAGAGATTGGAACCTAATAATATTCTAAAAGCATTATCTTATTCCACTTCTGTTATTAGGGAAGATCTCTATCCAGTTAGTTCCGCAGAATGTCAAAACAAATTGGGCCGTTTGGTGGAGGTTAAACTCTTGAGCTACCAACAAGCCACTATTATAAATATATGTATAATATAATAATAATGTGAGAGAGAGAGAGAGAGAGAATGGGTCGACAATCAGAAATGTGCCCACCAAACTTTCGCATTAGAAATCTGGATAGGAAAATTATTGTACACGGTTTGGACCGTTGGGTTGGAACCATCCAACTTTCAATGACCAACCAAAAAATAAGCACAGTTATGGGGATTAATGGTAATATTATGATTATTAAAATTGCAAAATATTATTCTTAAAAATTTTAATTTTATTTTAATTAATTAATAGAAATAATTAACAAATATAATTATTAATTAATAAAATAATTAATGTTTATTAATAAATAAATTAAAATCAATTAATAAATTTATATTTCATATGTTATGTTTAAAAAAATTAAGATTTGGTAATTGTAATATCATTGATGGTAACAATAATTATATTTTAAAAACCATTTAACTTTCATTTTAATGAAATTACCTATCATTTGATGCTAAATTGATTGAAAATGATTTGATTGGTGAGGAATGTCTTCTGAGACGAGCAGTACGTAGGTGCAGTTATGCATTTACGCAACACTAATAAGTGGATAGTTGGGTATGTGGACGGGAGAAAGTGGAGGCAAGTTCTGTTGTTTTTTTTCATGGTTTGGTGCATTTGGCTGGATAAGAATGCTGTTCAATTTAAGAAGGCCAACATGGACACGATATTTGAAAGAATACTACTGAATAATGGTTGAAAAGACACTTTCATCCAAAAAGAAAAAATGTTTGAAATGATACACATTATAGGGAGATATTGTGGGTTTTTCTTTTACGATTCCTAAAAATAAAAATAAAAATTAGAGAAACTGTCACTTGCGGTAAAATATTAACAAATGAGCTGAAATAAAAAAAAAAAAATCCCTTATTTTTATGTGATTTAAACAAAAAAAAGGTGTTCTTATGCTTAACCCCCACGCAATTAAATAATGAAGGAAGAGTAAAAAATACTCTAGTGTTAAAATTATGTGATTTAAGAAAAAGAAGAGAAATATGAATAATCAAGCACTCTCCTCACAAATACAATAGAGAAATAATAATAACATGCTATTTTCATTTGATGGCAGACAAAATTTCAGACCATAGCAGTGGAGATGCAGCAGAGGAGTTTTACTATATGTTCAAGGTGTGTGAATTATTCTTTAATAATTCGATCCCACTTTTTATCCATTGTTAAAATTATGGCATGCAGAAGGATTAATTTGACAGGAGGACATTGGCCGTATGAAAGAAATCGGTTTGGATTCATTCAGATTCTCTATCTCTTGGCCTAGAATATTACCATGTAAGGCCCAACATTTTTACTAAAATATTTTGGTGACATCAACAATTTTAATTTATTTTTCTTTAATTTGTTGGTTAAATCTTTAAGTTCATTTGTCATTCTTTTGGAACTTAATTAGTGGGCAAAATAAGCGGCGGGATAAATCAAAAAGGAATCAATTTCTACAGTTCTCTCATCGATCATCTCCTATCAAACGGTTAGACTTCATCAATCTCCTTTTCAATTCTCGTATGCATCAAGTTTTAAGATGTCTATCCACCTAATCTTATTTAGACTAATTAAGCTAAAAAACACTTTTCCCTCTGTTATATAAAGGATACTGTCAATTGTAGTTTTAATATATTTTTTAATTGGTCTCTAAAATTTTTGCTTTTGTACCAAAATAGTCCCTCAACTTTTTAACACCCGTTTTCATCCCTCAACCTTCAAATTTGATCCTAAAATGATCCCTCCCTCAACATAAGTGGATGATTTTAATTGGTTTTGCACATCTCAAGTCTTTCTATTAACTTAATTTCCTCTCCCATTTCTTGACTTCCTTAGGCAATATAATTCATACTTCATTTTCAATTTGGAGGACGATTTTTGTACCAAATTTGAGAGCCGGGACCAAAAGGAACCAAAAAAGTGGATGGAGAATTTTCAAAAGTAAAAGTTGAGGGAGCAAATAGGTATTTTACCATGAAAGCAAAAATATGAGATTGCTAGTCCTAAAATTACGTTTTTCTTTTTTGGCCAATAAAACATTACTTGGTTAAAATAAACTTTTCAAGCCCAACCCAAATTACATAGTTTTTAAAATGTTTTTATTGCAATGAGACACGTAGTTTAAGAAAGAGAGCTGTCAATTTTTATAGGGCATAAATATGACATAAGGACCCAAACTTCAATTGCACTCAATTAAGGTCCCAAACTCTATGAAATTCTCATATAAGGTCCCAATTGGACGGAAAACTAACTTCCGTCAAATCTAACAAACACCGTTAATGACTTCTTGACGACCGTTTGTCATCGGCTTCCGTGCCGTTGCACTTGCAGGTCCTGCACGCCTTTGCATGTTTTTTTTTTCCTTTACTTCATTTGTTTTTAGTAATAATATTTTTTATTAATTAATTATTTTTTAAATTAATGAATTAATATTATATAATATACATATCCTCA